ATGGGAACCATGGGGACATCTCAGAAAGAGTGCTGAGGAAGTCCTCCGGGATTTCCACATGAGGTATCCTAAGAAGCCAAGAGACAAAAGGCCTCTGGGCCACTAGCATTCCTTCTGTTTCTCGTCCCCTTCCCCACCAAAGGAGTTTCATTGTCACATAGCATAGCAATAGATACAGATTATAGATCTCGGAGACCAAGATCCTGGAAGAGGGGAGTAGTGTAACGGAGTCATTTCAACTGTCTGGTGTATGAGTACACACAGGGCCCGGTTACATGCTGAGAGTTATTGTTAGAAGCCAGTTGCAAAGTGACATGGAAGTACCGGCAGTGTGGTTAGCTGCCAGCTGTCAGAGTAACTACATTCTGAGCGCTAGGAAGAGGATCTACTCATGGGAGCAATGACTGACGAGTCTGTGCCTCGCCAATGATTAGAAGGCCAGCCAGAGTGAAGCTCTGAGTGCTCGGCAATCCCCTATATCCTCTGAGCATTGGAAGTCCACCAGTAGTGGAAGGGACAATGACTGCGAAGTCTACAATAAGCGAAAGCTCTACAGCAATGATTAAGCTTACACCTGAGCGGCAGCTCATTCATGCAGGCCCCAGTTGTGTGGCAACCAAGGCTGCAGGTGTTACAAAGGCTTTGACTAAGGGTGGATGCCTTCGGAACCGGAAGTACTCGCTGACGCTTAGAGAGAAGCGGGGTAGCGATGGTATTGCTTCCCTTCCACTGGAAGGCAGCACCGGAACTTAGTAAAGAAGTAGGAGCAGAGAATAGAATCCTTGGAGTATAAGTACTCAGGATCATCCTCGCCCAACTGTCCGGATCCTCATCTTCATCTTGACCATCATTGGTAGCAGAGCCCTTGAAGATTATTGAGTTCTAGCAATAGTATCTTTGAATAAATCTCTACCTGATTTCTATCTTGCATGGTCGCATCTATTCTATTGGATTCTAGCGATACATAGATAGGCTGTCCCCGTTACAGTTGGACGGGAAGGATCCTGAGTACTAATACTCCAAAAGATTCCGTTCCGCTTCTCCTACTTCCTTATCAAGTTCCGGTGGTACCTTCCAGTGGAAGGGAAACAATACCATCGCTACCCCGCTTCTCTCTAAGCATCAGCGAGTACTTCCGGTTCCGAAGGCATCCACCCTTAGTCAAAGCCTTTGTAACACCTGCAGCCTTGGTTGCCACACAACTGGGGCCTGCATGAATGAGCTGCCGCTCAGGTGTAAGCTTAATCATTGCTGTAGAGCTTTCGCTTATTGTAGACTTCGCAGTCATTGTCCCTTCCACTACTGGTGGACTTCCAATGCCCAGAGGATATAGGGGATTGCCGAGCACTCAGAGCTTCACTCTGGCTGGCTGTAAGGAACCGTGTGCGGCGGCTTGGCGAGGGGGTCGAGGGACACTAATGGGCTCCTGGGAAGGAGGACGTAGGCTCGCACGAGGACGAGGGTGGGGTCTGCAGTGTGCCCGAAGGCAGGGACAAGGGTCCGAACGAGGACGGAGAAGACAACGGTCGGCGAGGGGGCTGAGGGGAACAGCGGGGTAAGCGAGCAGAGGGCCACGAGGGCGACGACGAGGCACATAACAGCGGAGGCGAAGAGCATGATGGACAGCAGACGTAACGGGGACTGAGAGTAAAGAAGTATATTGGAGCGAAGTAAATTCCCCCAAAGTAATAACCCAAAGTAAAATACAAGATGTTGCGTAAGGAAAGAAGTAGACAGTGAGGGGGCGAGCACCCCTATATATATAAGAAAGAGAAACAACCCGATTACTAATCCTTCGCAGAAACTTCCGGCACTTTCCGATGACTCATGCTTCCTCCGTGTTGCGGTAGTAGTTCGTAACAGTTTAGCTCCCCCTCTCGAAGGGCGAGCTCCTGTGAGCCGGTAGGCGGGAGACGATGTGAAAATAAGTACATGGCAAGTTAGCAAAATGGTTGTAGGTGAAACACCAGGGAACGTAACATAGGGCGGTTTCATTTGCGAAAGAAACCGTAACAAACTATACTTTCCTACGCCGGGTCCTCTTAAGGGCTGCTGCGGGCTTGTTGGGGTATAGGGAGCGAAAGCGTTGTAGTGCCTCTAATTCCGCATCGAGATTCCGAGCCGGTTCCCAGATGGGTTGTTCGTAGCCGGCCCATTTGACTAGATATTGTAATTGCCGATGCCGTGTTCGGGAATCCAGTACTTCTTGCACTTCAAACTCCTCCCCTTCAACGATTACCGGGGGCGGTGGTGGTTGTACGTGGCCCGGCAGAGGTTGGGTCCGGGCCGGTTCTAGCAATGAAACGTGGAATACGGGGTGGGACTTCATCGAGGCGGGGAGTTCCAAGCGGTAGGCGTGCGATCCGATGCGTTCGAGTATCTTGAACTTCCCTAGCCGTTTATGATCTAGTTTGTCCGATGGCCTAGTGGTGCGTATGTGTTTTCGCGATAGCCATACCATATCCCCTACTTCGAGTCGCGGCTCTGGAATTCGGGCGGCGTTTGCACTATCGGCGGCGGCGGCTTGTGCATACAGGATCTCTGATCGCAGGGCAGCCTGCAGGGTGGAGATTGAGTTCGTAAATTCTAGTACCTCCTTCGGTGTGACTTTGCGCGTTTCTTCGGCAGGGGGGATGTCTAGTTGGGGGTTGTACCCATAGTTGGCAAAGAACGGGCTGACTCCCAACGGTTCCGTAGAGGCATTGTTATGCGCGAATTCTGCCAGGGGGAGGAACTCTGCCCAGTTATCCTGTTGGTAGTTGACGTAGCCCCGTAAGTATTGCTCCATAATGGCGTTTACCCTTTCGGTCTGTCCGTCTGTTTGTGGGTGGAAGGCTGTGCTGAATCGGGGTTTGATGTCTAATTGGCCGCAGAGTGACTTCCAAAATTGCGAGGTAAAGGTCGTGCCCCTGTCTGATACTATGTCCTTTGGCAGTCCGTGTGCTTTCCAAATGTGCTGTAGGAATAGTCGGGCCAGTTCCGGGGCGTCGGTGGTGTCTCTCGTGGGGATGTAGTGGGCCATTTTGCTGAGCCGGTCAACGACTACTAAGATGGCGTTGGATCCTTGGGACTCGGGTAGGCCTGTGACATGGTCCATGGATAGCGAGGACCAAGGTTTGACTGGGGGAGCCAGTGGTTTGAGGAGACCGTACGGGGCGTGTCGGGCCGGCTTAATTCGGGAGCAGGTGTCGCAGTGGTCCACATAACGGGCAACGTACTTCCGCATTTGGGGCCAGTAAAAGTTCCGGGATAGTAGTTCCAGTGTGCGTGCCCGTCCTGGGTGTCCGGCCGAAGGTGCGTCATGGTGGGTGCGGAGAATCTCCAACTTGATAGTGGCGTCGTCAGGGATGTATAGTAGGCCCTGATAGTACAGTAATTCTTCCTTAACTGTGCATTCACCTATGGGCAAGAAGCGGGAGTGCTTCTTCTTGGCCGCGATATCCTTCATGAGTTGTTTGGATAGAGGGTCCTTGGCCAGTGTGGTCTCGAGTTCCCTTTGGCGGGATGGTGCTACTTTGGCGGATGTGGGGGTCTGTAGTGCGGTCGCCAGACGGAGGTTCTTCGGTTTTAGTACAACCTGGTGCTGTTGGGTCAGTCTTTCATCCCCTTCCTTAGGGAGATCTCCAGATCGACGTGTGAGGGCATCAGGTTTCCCATTCTTCGTACCCGCTCGGTAGGTGACTACGAAGTTGAAGGAGGACAGCGTTAGGGACCAGCGGGCTTGACGACGGTTGAGGATCTTCGTGGACATGAAGTATTCCAGGTTCTTATGATCGCAGTACACCGTGGTTTCTTGGTTGTTGGGTTCCAAGTACTTTCGCCATTCTGCAAACGCGCGTACGATCGCCAGCAACTCTTTGTCATAGATGTCGTAGTTGCACTCGGCTGGCGTCATCTTGTGGAAGTAGAACGCCACAGGGTGTACGATTCCCTGGTCGTCCTTCTGGGAAAGTACAGCTGCCGCAACAAAGTCAGACGCATCGGTCTCCACTATGCACGCTCGTTCGGGGTCGTAGTGCCTTAGTACTGGGGCGGTGGTGAAAGCTTCTTTTAGCTGGGCGAATGCGTGTTCCGCCGCGGTTGTCCATATGAACGGGGCGTCCTTCTTCAACAGATTAGTCATGGGGGATACCACCTTGGAGTAGTCGCGGATGAATCTTCGGTAGAAGTTGGCGAACCCCAAGAAGACCTGTACGTCGTGGACCGAGGTGGGTGTCTTCCACTCCTGGATCGCCTTTGTTTTGTCGGTCGCCATGGTGACCCCTTCGCCGGATATGATGTACCCCAGGTATTCGGTACGGTCCACGTGGAACTCACACTTCTCCGGCTTGCAGTGGAGGCCCACGGCTTGTAGTTTGTCCAGGACGGTGCGGACATGTTGCTGGTGTTCTTCGGGTGTGTTGGAGTAAATCAGGATATCGTCGAGGTACGCTGTGCAGAAGTCGTCCAAGTGGGTTCGGAGGGTATTGTTCATGAAGGCCTGGAAGGTAGCGGGGGCGTTGGTGAGTCCGAATGGCATGACCAGGTACTCGAACAGCCCGTACCGGGTTCGGAAGGCTGTTTTCCATTCTTCCCCTTCCTTGATTCTGATCTGGTTGTAGCCCTGGCGAAGGTCCAGCTTGGTGTATATCTTGGCATCTTTCAATCGGTCCAAGGTATCGTTGATCAACGGCAGTGGGTAGCGGTTTTTGATGGTGACGGCGTTGAGGGCGCGGTAATCCACGCATAGCCTTAAGGACCCGTCCTTCTTTTTGATGAACAGGACGGGGGCTCCTGCAGGGGACGAAGACGAGCGGATGTACCCTCGAGCTAGTTGGTCATCCAGGTATTCCCGCAGGGTTTTTAGTTCCTCCGAGGACATGCCGTACAGGGGGCCGAAGGGTAGCTGTTTGCCTTCCATCAATGGGATTTCGTGATCGATGTACCGGTGGGCGGGGAGCGCTTGGGCCTCGGATTCCTGGAACAGGTGGAGGTATTGGTGGTAGGCGGCCGGGACCAGTTCATCGGTTGACTGGGATGACGGTGGGTTTGGGCTCGGGGCTCGGGCTGCGAGGAGGAAGAGTTGGTTATCCGGTTGTTGTGCTTCTCTGCGGAACCGGGCGGCGGACAAGGTAATGGTGCGGCGAGGGGCGTCTGGCCTTGGGGGTATTGGTGGCGGGCGCGAGGGGATGGCGGTGCTGGGTCTCGGGGGTATTGGCGGGGGCGGCAGGGTGGCTACGGAGGCGGTCAAGGGGGGGCAGGTGAGGGTGGAGCCCCAGAGGGTTGCAGTGTGCTGTTGGCAACGCTCGGCGTGGAAGGAGATAGACCGGTCGGCGAACTGTATTTCGGCAGCGTGGTGTTGTAGCCAGGGGAGTCCGAGGACCACTTTCGTGTCGCCGAGTTTGGTGACAAACAAGGAGGCCCCTTCCACATGATTATTCATCTCGAGGCGGAGTTTGCAATAGTGAGTGATGGCTCCGGAGGCGATGGCTCGTCCATCGATCACTTGCAAATGTCTTGGGGTCACGAGTTCTTTGAGGGGGTATCCGCGGGCCTTGGCAAAGGAAGCGTCGATGAACCCATATCCGGTGGCTCCAGTGTCCACCAGCGCATGGAGCGCGTCCCTGTTCCGAGATAGCCGTATTGGTACTTCAAAGGGTTCGCAGTCGTCGGGGTGGTGTAGTTGTCCGATCTTGAGTTTGGCTCCTACCCTTCTCGTTCGTAAGAGCCGTGTGGCCGTGTGGGCGCCGGGGGCGTTGGTCACGTGGGCTGTGCCCCCATGACGGGTGACCAGGGCAGGAAGTAGTGGGGCTCCTAACCGATGAAGGGTATTCAAGACTTTGACAGGCGATGGGTATGGCCCGAGGCCGGTGAGGTAAGGGTGGAAGTCCCTGGAGGTTAGTGTGAGGAAACACCAACCCGGGTCATTTCCCGTAGGTGTTCCAAACGAGGCAGCACGTTGGAGGAGGAAGCGTTGTAGTCGTCGAGTGCGTCGGGGCGGCAATAGTGGGGGGCTTGGTCGGCGAGTGGTTCCTCCCTGGCTCGGGGAAGAAGTCTACCGAGTAGGTAGGCTGTTGTCCAGGCTAGGAGGAAAAGGGCGGCGTAAGCGAATGGCAGCAATGTGTTGGTGGTCTCCGGAGAGAGGGTGTCGGTCGACCATAAGACACGCAACATAGTGTAAGGAACCGTGTGCGGCGGCTTGGCGAGGGGGTCGAGGGACACTAATGGGCGCCTGGGAAGGAGGACGTAGGCTCGCACGAGGACGAGGGTGGGGTCGGCGGTGTGCCCGAAGGCAGGGACAAGGGTCCGCACGAGGACGGAGAAGACAACGGTCGGCGAGGGGGCTGAGGGGAACAGCGGGGTAAGCGAGCAGAGGGCCACGAGGGCGACGACGAGGCACATAACAGCGGAGGCGAAGAGCATGATGGACAGCAGACGTAACGGGGACTGAGAGTAAAGAAGTGTATTGGAGCGAAGTAAATTCCCCCAAAGTAATAACCCAAAGTAAAATACAAGATGTTGCTTAAGGAAAGAAGTAGACAGTGAGGGGGCGAGCACCCCTATATATATAAGAAAGAGAAACAACCCGATTACTAATCCTTCGCAGAAACTTCCGGCACTTTCCGATGACTCATGCTTCCTCCGTGTTGCGGTAGTAGTTCGTAACACTGGCCTTCTAATCATTGGCGAGGCACAGACTCGTCAGTCATTGCTCCCATGAGTAGATCCTCTTCCTAGCGCTCAGAATGTAGTTACTCTGACAGCTGGCAGCTAACCACACTGCCGGTACTTCCATGTCACTTTGCAACTGGCTTCTAACAATAACTCTCAGCATGTAACCGGGCCCTGTGTGTACTCATACACCAGACAGTTGAAATGACTCCATTACACTACTCCCCTCTTCCAGGATCTTGGTCTCCGAGATCTATAATCTGTATCTATTGCTATGCTATGTGACAAAGAAACTCCTTTGGTGGGGAAGGGGACGAGAAACAGAAGGAATGCTAGTGGCCCAGAGGCCTTTTGTCTCTTGGCTTCTTAGGATACCTCATGTGGAAATCCCGGAGGACTTCCTCAGCACTCTTTCTGAGATGTCCCCATGGTTCCCATGTAGCGTCCTCATTCTCATAACCTTCCCACAGCACCAGGTATTCCACTCTTCTCCTCTTCTTATTGACTCGGCTATCAGCTACTTCCCGAACTATCCAGTTCTGTTCTCCTGCAATTTCCTCAGGTTCCGGTGGGGGAACTCTTCTCTCAGGGTCTACTGGTGCTCTATAGGGTTCTAGGAGAGACACATGGAAGACAGGGTGGATTCCCATCGGCGGGGGAAGAGAGAGCTTGTAGGCACAGGTACCAATAGCTTCTAAGACCTTGAAGGGTTCCATCTTCTTCTGATCCAATTTTCCCAATGGTCGCTTCGTTTGCACATTGCACCGGTCTAGCATGACTTCATCTCCAGGCTTGATTTCAGGTGGTTCCAGGGCATGTGCATCATACCACCGGGTCATCCTTAGTCTAGCCTTTCCCAAGCTTGCATTCATAGCCTGCCAGATAGATTCCCATTGAGATACCATGACCTCGCTTGCTGTATTATTCCATTCAACACCTTCCTTTGGGGCCGGCCAGTTGGTCCTGGGTTCATAACCATAGTTGGCATAGAAAGCTGATACTTTGGTAGACTCAGAGACTGCCGAGTTGTATGCATACTCTGCCAAAGGCAAGAGGTCTGCCCAGTCATCCTGTTGATATGAACAATAACTCCGCAAGTAATGTTCCAGGGTCTGGTTAACTCTTTCTGTCTGGCCGTCAGTTTGGGGGTGGAAAGAAGTGGACATCTTCAGCTTCACATTGAGAAAGCTCATGAGAGATTGCCAAAAGTGAGAAATGAACCTGCTATCTCTGTCCGAGTGTAACAGAGCCACAGTAGGGCTGTTACAAAAGTACCTGTTCTACCAGTCAACCATACGACACTAGGGTGATCACCGCTTGTTCTTCATCGATGGGTGAAGTCAAGGGCAGATGACCCCTACCTCTATTGGTATGAAGGGTAGGGATCCTGGCGAGCAAGAAGTCTTATAAGTCAAGCTAGGCGACTGGACCAAAACTAGAGCAGAAGGAGGAGCATGCCAAATAAAAGAATGGTAACCCCAAACATAAGTTACCCTACCTTGGAAGTCAACCTTTGAGGCGCAATAACTTAGCAACCGATGCTCGGAAAATATGCTTTACCACGTCAGAAAGGATCCTGACATTGCTCCGGTCCATTTGGGGTGGTTGAATGAACTGATTGCGGAGTTGAGGAAACACTGCAAAATAAACACGTTTTAGACTCCAAAAATAACCCCCGGAGCGTCGAACCGCCGGAACCCTCCTGTTTCAGCCCGGAGCACCTTTGAGGGGGAGTAGGAGTACGACCCAAGCTACTAAAAGCAAACCTCGCTTTTACAAAACACCAAATCTGTTCAAAAAACAAATTGAATAAGCAATTGCTATCTGGTCGGTTGTTTCCACTAGTTCTTAGGATCCCGACCAGCTCTTGGCAGAGATTGCGTGATTTGACTCGGGCGGAAGTTCGTCCGAGGTTTGGCAGCAACTCCTCTCGCCCCTCATAGAAAAAAGTCGCGGTGTCCCCGAACTAGGGAGAAACGGACGGCTAGAGAGGAAAAGCGGGAAAAAAGGGGCGGAACTTCGATAAAAGTACTCGGTTGCCCCCAGTTTGAACTCGGGGAGTCATGGGATCTTTACTAGCGAGGAGAACCCTTAAAGTTATTAAGTTTTTGACTACAAAATACGATCAAACAAAAAAACTCCATCTTTCGATCGAACGAGCCCAATAAATCCATCGTTGCCCGTTTACCCTTTCTATTTTGATCGAAGTCACGGTCGTGCATCATCCTAGCACCCCCGTTACAGTATAACTTTAAGCCCCTTGCTTAAAGAACCCCATGAAAGGAAAAAATTTTACCGGAACATCTGGGACCACTCTCAACGCTGAAATAACCAAGCAGTTAGCTTTCTTGTATTCAGCTCGGGCTGGTATGGGAGAGGCGAACACGTTACTATGGTCTCCACTGTATCCGTTAAAGGGTTATAGCGCCCACATTCGCTCAAAGGGATATAGCGCCCAGCTTCGCTCGAAAGGAGACCACATCTAGGATCGCTCCTAGAAAATCCTGATAGCCCCATTGGTAAGAGGACCCCATTTCCCATCTGGGCCCCAGTCCCAACCAAAGTCAATGTCCCTCCGTCCACGATGACGACAGGCAGGGTCCGGAAGAGGAGGATAACTGGCTTTCTTCTGGCGCCACCATGCCTCGTAATGCGCTTCGAGTGCCAGTTTCTGTCTCTCATTCCGCTCTTCTTGTGCCACTCTCTGCCGCATCCACTCCGCTCCCCTCCCATCTCGCTCAATCTCCTCCCGCATCCACCGCACCTGTTCCCGTTTCTCCCTTGCTGCTGCACGGACACGAGCCTGACCAACACTCCTGTCCCCTTGTTGGAAGAAGGTATAAGGACGATGGAAATCCTCCCGAGTCAGAAACGGAACCTGGTTGAAATGGCTGTCGAAGGTCAAGGTCTCCAAACCTCGAGGAACAGCTTGTCTGTGGAAACATTAGCGGGAGTAAGAGGAGGTTACAAGCCGCACTAAACCATGCCTACCTCACAGCACTCCGTGATCGGACAGGTTTCCGAGTAACTCTCCGAGCATATACAAAGTTACCACCATCCAACTCTAGGAGATCGGTAATAACCGGACATGTTGAGGATCTAAGCCTCGTCTCCCGGCGAGATCGACTAGCGTTAGATAAAAGCGCTTGTACGATAGACGAATTGACCGCGATGAACAAAGAGAGGAATAGAATAAAGAAAAGCATTGTTGCTGAGAAGAGGTGAAAAATTTGGTGTTGTGTGTGGAAAAAATCGAATTTTTGTGGAATGGATAGAGGGAATGGATTCTTACCCTCCTAAGTTCGACGGGTACCCCGCTTTTATAAGCGAACTCCTATACAAGTTCCGAGGATCAACGTGGTTATCCGTAGGAGGAGTTCGGTCCGGCTCTAACCGAACCCGACATTAACCGTCGGAAGAGACAAGGACACCGAGTTTACCTGGTTTGAGGAAGGCATGCGTGCGTTCGAAGTCCTGAAAGAGGCGTTCCAATCCGCCCCCGTATTAGCCCTCTTTGATGCTTAGCTAGCCACCAAGGTTGAGACCGATGCCTCCAACCTCGCCAAATCTAGCATACGGTCCCAATTCCACTGAGATGACAATAAGTGCCATCCAGGAGTCCTTTACCCCAAAAAGGGAATTCGCGAGCCGAACGGAATTATGATGTTCACGACAAGGAATTAGGTGCCATTGTGTCATGCTTCAACGAGCGAAGTCACCCAGGAGGAACCTCCAGCCGGAGGGAAACCCCAGTGGAAAAAACCAGAACCCAGAACCAGCGGGTAATGGTGGAGGAGATGGAATAGTCCCCCCGGTTGGTGGCGCATTCCAACCCAGGAGAGAACTCAGATAGTTCAGATTCGGAGCATGAGGATGGAGATAGGAGAGGATGGCGGAGATACCTCAGGAAGATGCTGGAGAAGCAGCAGAGAGAGAGAGCCCTGGCCTCCATAGCCCAGTTCATGAGACCTCCGGCCCCCCCTCACACCCCTCCACTGCCTCCAATGGCCGAGAACCAAAGACACCTCCCTCCGGCCAAGTTCAATGGCAAAGCAAATAATGTGCGGACCTTCATCGGGCAATGTGAGAATATCTTCTCCATTGAAAGCCAGTCTTTTACCTCCGAAGAGGTTAGGATCCGATATCTTCTGCCAACCAGATAGCTGGGATGTCTGTGGTGTGAGATGAGAGATGGAAGCGCTGGGATTCCTTTGTGGATGCTCTCAGAGAAGCCTTTGGCGAAGCCATCTCTAGGGATGATGCGGTAGCCTAATGGAATAACCTCACCCACGCAGCCAAGGGGGGAACAGACTCCTTCCCGAATAGCATTATTCAGCTGATGTGGAAGACTGGCTATGAGGGTCAGTTAGTGAATGATAAGATCCTCAGTTCCCTCCTTCCGGACCTAGGCACGAGCTGTGCTCTCTTTACCCCGTTACACCTCTGGGCTTTCTCCAGCCTGGGTTTGCCAAGGGTTTATCCCCGGAATCCCACAGAGCAAAAGGCACTGAAACCGAGATAAGCTCGAGGGGCGGCCAACCTCGCGGAGTTTGGCTTCAAAGTTGTATACCGCCCTGGAAAACTAAAACGCCAAAGCAGACATCTTGTCGCGGCGTTGGGACCACGCCCTTAAAGAGGGGGGTAAGGCTCATCAAGACCCTGAAATTCGCTTGTTTAAGCCAGGACAACTTATAATGGGTTCTGTCCAATACCCGATCGTTATGATCAACTCAGCATGGGCAAGAGCAGCCCAAGTCTGCAAAACTCACACCGGTGCTCCCGGATGAAATCGGGGCTCGAGCAGCCTTAGATCCAGGGTACCTTTCCTTGAGAAAAGCCATTGAGAACACCTCTGGGAATCTGGTGAACCGAGACCTCACTTTAAAGGACGGAGACGTCTTCTATAAGGAAAAGTGGTACATTCCAAATCATCGAGAACTGGAGCTCAAGATCCTGAGCGCCCTACATGATTCGAAGACTGCTGGTCACTTTGGACAATTCAAACGGCAGAACGCCTTCAGGCACTCTCCTTTGGCTAAAGATGGACAACAATGTGGAAGAATACGTTCGGAGTTGCGATACATGTCAATGCGTTAAGGCCTCAACACACAAGAAGTATGGGATGTTGCAATCTTTAGAGGTCCCCTCTATGCCTTGGAGCTCCATTTCAATGGACTTTATCGTGAGCCTGCCTGAATCTGAGGGCTATACCCATGTCTGGGTTATCGTTGACCGTTTCACCAAAATGTCCCAATTCATTCCGCTCAAGACCAAAGCAACCATCCAAGAGCTTTCTCAAATCTTCCTATGGGAGATATGGCGACTGCATGAATTTCCTGAGGAAATTATCTCCGATCGGGACTCTAGATTTGGAAGAGATCGTCCTCAAACTGACGGACAAACTGAGACAGTCAACCAAACGCTAGAACAATATCTCAGAAACTATTGCTTCTATCAGCAGGACGATGGGGCAAGAATACTCCCACTTGCGAGTAAGCCTACAACACGCCCACCCAAGAGTCAACCAAAGTATCGCCGTTCTACGCGAACTATGGGTTTCAACCAGATTCCACTTGGCCCTCTCCTAAACGGAAACTAGAAAACTTCGACGCGCCCAGCGCGGCGCAAGCACAGCGGAAGAAATGGTATGATCAGAAACATATGAGTGCTCCAGAACTGAAGGTCAGGGACGAGGTGATGATGGACCGACACAACATCTTAACCAAGCGATCATCAAATAAGCTAGATTACAAAAATCGGGTCCCTTTGAGGTTGTCGGGAAACTTGGTGTCACGTCCTACAGGCTGAATCTACCCTCTCAGTGGAACATTCATGATGTCTTCCATATATCTCTGCTGGAACCGTATTGGGAGTCAAAGGACCCTCAACGAGCTATAGCGCTTCCACCTCCGGATGAGGTTCAAGGCTGATCGTGGGGGAGAGGTTCGTGCAAAATCGGATTACCTGGGAGAGCTAGCGCTCAGAAGACTTCCGGGAACCGTACAAAATGTTGCAAGGAATGGCAGACGAGACACTCCGAGAGTTCCATCCGAAGTATCCCGGAAAATCACGGGACTTATGGGTGAAACTCTAGAAATCCTCAAAATACGGCGTTTTTCCCATCGGTATGACAGTGTTCGGATGCCGTTGTTTCCCTGGGAAGCAATACAGGAAAGTGAAGGAAACCGAGGCAACGGAGTGTTCTGGGACAAGCGTGGAGAAAACGGGTCTCCCTTTGTTGGGATACACGTTTTTCACTTGAGGTTTTCCTTTGTTAATAGAAATGGATGCGGAAAATAGAGTGTAACGGAGCCATTTCAACTGTCTGGTGTATGAGTACACACAGGGCCCGGTTACATGCTGAGAGTTATTGATAGAAGCCAGTTGCACAGTGACATGCAAGTACCGGCAGTGTGGTTAGCTACCAGCTGTCAGAGTAACTACATTCTGAGCGCTAGGAAGAGGATCTATTCATGGGAGCAATGACTGACGAGTCTATGCCTCGCCAATGATTAGAAGGCCGGCCAGAGTGAAGCTCTGAGTGCTCGGCGATCCTCTACATCCTCCGAGCATGATAAGTCCGCCCGTAGTGGCAGGGACTATGCCTGGGAAAGTCTACAATAAGTGAAGAGCTCTACAGCAATGATTAAGCTTACGCCTGAGCGGTAGCTCATTCATGCAGGTCCCGGTTGTGTGACAACCAAGACTGCCGGTGTTACAAAGGCTTTGACCAAGGGTGGTTGCCTTCGGAACAGGAAACACCCGCTAACGCTTAGAGAGAAGCGGGGTAGTGGTGGTATTGCTTCCCTTCCACTTGAAGGAATCACCAAAACTTAGTAAGGAAGTAGGAGCGGAGAATGGAATCCTTTGGAGTATAAGTACTCAGAATCCTTCTCGCCCAACTATCCAATTTCCTGATTTCCATCTTGTACGGCCACACCTTTTCTATCGGATCCTAGCGATACGTGGAAAGGCTGTCCCCGGTACATAGAGTCAGTATGGAATCGTTATTAGAGCTACATTTTCTTGTATTCGCATAATGTACCATACCAAAAACCCTAGGTTGGACTCGGGACGAGTCTACCGGAGAGGGGGGTAGTGTAACAGAGCCACAGTAGGGCTGTTACAAAAGTACCTGTTCTACCAGTCAAGCCATATGACCCTAGGGTAATCACCGCTTGTTCTTCATCGATTGGTGAAGATAAGGGCAGATGACCCCTACCTCTATTGGTATGAAGGGTAGGGATCCTGGGGAGGAAGAAGTCTTATAAGTCAAGCTAGGTGACTGGACCAAAACTAGAGCAGAAGGACCAGCATGCCAAATAAAAGAATGGTAACCCCAAACATAAGTTACCCTACCTTGGAAGTCAACCTTTGAGGCGCAATAACTTAGGAACCGATGCTCGGAAAATATGTTTTACCACGTCAGAAAAGATCCTGACGACATCAGCAAACCTGTAGCCTTCGCCAGACGCCCGGGGCGCTCAGGGCGCTCAGGGCGCTCGGTAGGTAAACTACCTCTCCAGAGATACCGCCAGTGCTCCTGGCGAGGTCTGGCGCACATTATTCCGCCCCAGCGCACACTAGTCCGCACAACGGGCCCCGACACTAAATAATAGCGCCCGGTGTAACTAGGACGTCACTCTACCCGCCAGAGAACGCCAGTTGCACGGTTGGATATCCTGACTGCTCCTGGAGCACTCTTCACTGCTCCAGCGGGCTCTGGGGATAGAATGATTGCCCTGACTCCCCCTGACGTTGCCAGATGGGGTGCTTTGAAATCTGGCTCATGCCCGACGTACCGATTCCTACATGTCGGCGCCCCGTTCTCTCTAGGCATACACCTCTCCGCCGTTCCGGCCTCTGGTATTCACAATTCCCCCATGAGATTACAAAAACATCACTCGCACGACGATCTCTACTGTCTCCAGAGCACTCGCGACTGCACTTTGAGAATTGGTGTATTCAACACCGTGATCCTCCGCCTAATACTAAATACAATACGCCATTTAACACCCTAACTAACCCTAATACAATATACGAATCAGAAGAAATCCCCCACTATCTCCCTTAGCACTCGTGATTGTTCTACACATCCTCCTCCCCCCCCCCCTTCGTAATCCCCCGCTACAGGTAATTCCGGCTCTTCTTCTTCCTCCTCCCCCTCCTCTTCGGTGTCAATGCCGCGAAGTCGGGCATTAATCACTTCGTCCTGGGCGCTGTCGGAATCAACCCGACCTCCTGGAGCACTCGTGGGTGTTCTCCGAGCATCTCGGAATGCGGCAAGATCCGCAGCCAGAGCTTCATCGTCCTCGCTAAAACCCTCCTCCGGTATAATCTCAATCGTTACCCCTTTTTTATCTCGTATCTATTAGGGTTAGCATTTAGAATACCACTCGCATTACCGGCATCTAGAAGTATCATACCTTTTCTCGAAGGTTATCTTTGATTACCTCCAAGGTTGCCTCCTGGTTCTGTTTACTTCTCCCCTTCCAAGTGTTGCTCATCCTATTAAACGTTACTACTCGTGTTTGGATGTCAGCTTGGCAATCCCGTATAGCCCTAGGAGCATCCGTCATTGCTCCCAAGGCACTCGCCATATCAATGAGGGCATCGGGCCATACTTACTCACAACACTCTCATTCTGCGACTGAAAATTATCAGGCTTCACGTAACTCCCTGTTGACCACGCCCGAATGCCGTGCCAGATCGCCGTCGATATCAGGCAAATAAGGGTAGGGGTTATCCGCTCTAGAAATTCGGGATCCCTAACCACTCGCATTCTTACCCCATCGAAGTATTTAAAATACAATATATCGATAATTTCCGGAGCCAGGAAGCGCAGTCGGTAGGTCTAGAATCTGTTACCGGCTATCCCGAGTGCTCTCTGGGCATCCACTGGCATCATACCTCGTAATGCTGTTGGGGGCTCAAGAAACGATCATTCTTCAAAAGGTATTCCACTTGAGCCGCCCTCGCCTCAGGCCCCACAAAATTTCCAAGCCCGTATATCGTAGAGTCCGCCAGGCGCCCTTTCACCTCGTGCATCAAGTGGGAACGGACACGGGAGTGCAGACTTCTGACCTATCATTCTCAATTATGCTTCCAGAGCACTCGTAATCCTTTTGGGGGCACTCACCTGTTTAATAACGACCTCATCAAGGTCTACTCTACACCCCACTCGGCGACTAGCAGTTGCCCACATGCTCACTACCAGTACCGAAAGTCTTGCTGCAGGTGGAAAGGGCTCATGTAGAAGAGTATGCTCCCCGATTAACACGCTACACTCCTTCTCAATCCTCTGAGCCTGCACTGACAGCACATTTGCACTCCTAGAGTTAGGGACCACAGACCTCTGAGTCAATTGGCTCGAAGGAATGTCGCCAGTGTTCTCAAAGACGTCGTGAGTGTCCTCCGGAATACTAACCTCGCTTCCCGGAATCAAAATACCCTCGCTTTCCGGCATCGGAGTACTCTCGTCCCCCCCCTAGATGAGGAAAGGTACTCGATTTCGTAGACTCTTCGCGATCTACCTTGACCGTGAAGTTGGCTTGAAGGAATCTGACGACTGCTCACAGAGTTCTCGCCAATTACCTCGCTAGGCGGTGAAGAACGATATGTCCGGTAAGTGGGGGACGACTCCCCGTATCGAGAGCGCATCGAGGAAAAATCGATATGGCGCGTAGAAGAGGTATACTCATGAGCATAAACAGGTGCAGAGGGCCTAGACTGTGAGGGTGTTGGGGTGCTCTCTGGGATGCCGGGAGTGCTCTCTGGGATGCATTCTGGCTGGGTGCTGAAGTGGGTGCTGCTCTCCCTTGACCTTGTTTACGTATTACTTTCGCGCCCGGTCGAGTTCCCCTCTGAATCGTTAGCCACTAATACTTACATTTTAAAAGGCATCAATGAGCGAGATAGAGTCGAACCTGTACCACGTCCACCGACACGTTGGAAGAAGCAATGACCTCCGCTACCGCGCCAGTTGGTTTCCTCCGAGCATTGCCCAGTGCTCTGGCAGTAGTGGGCTGAACTGTATGAGGTCTCTTTCCGACAGTCTGAGACTTCTGGGTGTAAGATGGGGGGGGGGCTTGAGGTTCATCCTCCGGTTCATCCTCATCCTCCTCAGAGCTCTCGTGGTCATTCTCCGGAGCATCATCATAGTCTGAGTGGCTAGTATCAACTATTTCTTCCACCTCTGGCGCCTCAATTGCCTCTGGCGCCTCAATTGCCTCAGGCTCCTCCTGCGCTTCAAAATTATCAGTATGATCCTCGGGGAGATGAAATTCTACCCTCCTAGGACTGCTCCTCCCAGTGGGGGTTTCGGAGGAACGGAGAAGACCTTTCCGAGTTATTTGAGCGGCGGTGGTCGATTGACTACTCCGAGTGCGGGCTGGCAGTGGAGTCAATGTTCGGTAAGATATTTCAGACTCGTCAGTCAGTAAATCTTCATGTTCTTCAGGTCGTTTTGGGAGTCGTGGGCGCTTTGGGGCAAGAGGTGCTGAACCGGAGGAGCGCTTGGTGGGAGCCATTCTGATGACTGGCAGGAATATCCGCAGTGCTCTAGGAGCACTCGCGATATCTTCGATTAGAAATCAATTCTTGGCGAGAAAATTTGCGCCGCTAATCAAGAAAAATTTGCACCGTTAATCCTCTTACGGCAGGGATCATCCTATGTTACCACAATTTCTGCACTCAACCGCATCATTTATCATCACTCGTTTTACTGCACTTTCTGAAGCGGTACCGAGTGCTCTGAGAGCAATCTAGGAGTTTGATTCGACTTTGAAATAAAAGCAATGCAATTACTACCTGGAATAATCTCATCTAATCTAATCTAATCTAATCCTATCCGATATAACCCATCTATTGATATACTCTCGCAAGACAAAGGGAAATCCAAAACACCAAATCGTACCGCACTTCAATAGCTATCGCGAATGCTCAGGGAGTAATCCTAACAACTATTAAAAGGTTAGTGACAATTCCGCAGGAAGGGAAGTTAGAGATTATACCAAAGGGAAACTAATGATGCCCACCACCATCACCACCAACCACCACCATCCACCACCACCACCACCCACCACCAACCACCACCACCACCACCACCACACCACCACCACCACCACCACCACCACCACCACCACCACCACCACCACCACCACCACCACCACCACCACCACCACCACCACCACCACCACCTCCACCACCACCTCCACCACCACCACCACCACCTCCAGCACCAGCAGCCGCGAGTGCGTCAGCAGCTCTCTTGGCTGCTATCCCGGCAGGTGTCCAGATCGTCCCCTGTAAGAAGTTTGGGTCAGCAACCCCGACACCCAAAGGATACTTCCTAAGGTATTTGGGGTCTAAATCGTCGATAGCATCCTGCTGTCTATCGCGACGCCTAACAAGAGTCTGAATTAGCCTTTGATTACTGGCATCAGTTCTAGGCATATATACCCTCAGTCCTTTGGCATTTATCCGGTGCTTTCGCTCCTCGTAATCCGAATCCTCTGCAGGAATATCGATCATGCTATAATCATCTTCCTCAACGTGAGGGAAAGCCGGGTTCAACGGAGGGGATTCCGCACCACCCAGGTTAGCACCCGCGCCTGCTCTGTGGAGGACCGCCAATATCCTCCGAGGCCTGGCATTGCTGTTCTCAACCAACCTTCGAGCTCCTCTGAATCGGTAATTTGTACCTCCACCGGCCGAACAGGAGGAACAGCTGCCGGGGGGACATTCTCAATTGCCCCCCAGATAGTCCTGACTGCTCTGCCGGGTGCGGTGTGCTTCAGGATCAAGTTGCATAGCTCGGGGAAAGTTATCTTGGTCAAAATTCCGATGAACGAAGGTTCGTTCAGGGGATCATTCCAGTCATAAGTAGGTGGTGGGACGAGCATAAAGAATGCCCCTAGAGCATCGGGGTCCACCACGGTAACCATTATGGAAGGTCGCACGAGTTCCGGAGGTACTGCACGCTCTTTCCCTTTGCGAGAGCGTCTTCCGGCTGCCTGACCACCGCCGTCATCATCATCCATCACTATCACCGGCAGCCTCTTTGAACTGACGGTCTCCCTGTCCCCTTGATAACCTATCCTTCATACCAACATCTGCGATGAGCCACTGTAGAGCACTCGCCAGTGCTCTACGGGCATCGGAGTCACCCCAGTCCAAATTGGCAGAAAACCGTTGAGGGAGGGCAAGTTCATCAAGTAAAGGCATAGGGCATTGAACGCAGCCATACCGGACGTGCTTTTTATTGACCCAACCCACATTTTGCATTTCCGCCTTTAGGCTGTTGCGGATGCTGGTGTACACTCTTAGGTAGGTTGAGTAGACCTAAAGTCATCTTCGCTTTGCTTGCTTGAGTCATCTTGAATGCGGTCGAGCTCGGGGATGTCTCTTGAATACTCGGGGATGTCTCTTGAACACTCGGGGATGTCTCTTGGACAATCGGCGATGGCTCGGGTCTAATTCGTCTCTGTCATACTGGTGAGGGGTGGTCTATTAGTTCGGACGGGCTTGCACTAGAAAATAACCGAGAGGGGCGTCGGGGCTTGAATGTAGGGGTCTCCGGTGCAAGAACCTTCGGTGGAGCACTGACGGGTGCTGGTGAGGGAGTAGTAGAGCCTGCTGGGCCTGTTGAGCGGCCTGTTGCTGGGCCTGTTGCTGCTGGGCCTGTTGAGCGGACTGCACTAGACTTGGACCGAGTGAGAACTTGACTTGGGACTATGGTCTTCCCGGGCAACGTTCTTTTGTGGAGCACTAGCGGGTGCTGGTGGGGTAGCACTAACCCTAAGTACGGTCGTCCGTACAAGGGCCTCTGGTGAAGCACTGCTGCGTGCTGAGGAAGCAGTGGAGACTGCTGCTAGTGGGCCTGTTGCTGGACCTGTTGCTGGGTCTTGATCGTCACTTATGTATGGTTCAGAGGGTTCGGAACTAAAGTCGGGAAAGGAGTCGGAATCAGTTAGGGTTGCTCCCCAGTTACTCGGGAAGATCCCTTCAGTGTCCGATGGAGCTAGGTTAGTATTTGGCGGAGTCCGGGTTTCAGTCCGGATTGGTGGAGGTACAGGGTTTTGTTTTCGGCTCTTGTTGATCGGGGTGAACCGGAAAGCACTGGCGACTGCTTAGGGGGTGTTTCTGGTATCTCCTCCGGGATAGGCTTGACAGTTTTGCGGGACGATTTGCGACCTGAGGAAGTTCGGTGTTTCTTATGTTTTCGGGACGATTTGTGTTTCTTGGTTTTTTCGGTGGGTCTTTTCGTTATCGTCTTCGTCTATGTCACGCAAGCGCTTCTTATTGGGAAGTTGATTTGTGTTCTGTGAGCTACCGGAGTGCTCTGAGCGGTGTTTGGAGTCTGATAATGTTAATGTATCACTGTGGTGAGTATGGTTCTAAAATTAATTGGATTAGGAGAGAGAAATACCATCTTATTTATAAAGATTGCAAAGGTTAAATCGCTTGAAAACG